ACCCCAATGGGTCTGGGTTCAATCCCAGCCGAGGTCGGTGGGATTTTTCTGAGGCATAAAAATCTCTGGTCACGTCTTCCTTCGGAAGGGAAGTAAAGCCGTTGGTCCCGGTCCATGTGTGTTGTGAATGGGTGCGATATCCTACGCAGGTGTCGTGTGATGTTGGGAGATGTCTCCATTGATAAGAGATTCACTATTGCCAAGAATGATGATCCGCGCATTATGATCCATTATGATGATCGGCGCATCAGGATGAGTCTTGTACTGATGGTGGCCTTTCTTTACATCACATCAACACACAACATAAAACTTTTTTTTGTGCATCGCCTGGTAAATACTTTGGATTGTTCAATCAACGTAGAAATTGGCTGTTTTCGTCGTCGTCGTCGTCGTCGGCAGTTCCATTCGTATATTTAAAATTAACCATCAACCGTAGAATCTATATCGATTCTCACGCATCTCTGTCGTTCGTTACATACTATTTAAGTGAAATCTTTATCGTATTTTGTCGTAGAGCATTGTGGTTTTGAGATGCTTGATGACCCGGGAGGGTTTTTACTTACTGAGCAGAAAATCATGGGTTTGATCCCAAGCTCTTCCACAACAGAATAAATCGACATCGCTGGGTTTCGAGAGTATAACGCGCCTTAATAATCATAAGTTGAAATGTTTAAATCATTATTACATTGTAACTATTCCTTACACATCGGTAACCATAAACCTTAAAATGCACAAAAACTAATTAAAATGAACATACTCTTGATTTATTGTCAAAATTTCAATCGCATGAAAAGCCCAGCTAAAATGAAGGAAATTTATCAACATTTATTATGCTCATCCTTTTCGGTCATTCTGGCAACTGAAACAAGCTGGGACGAAAGCGTAAAAAGTGAAGAAATCTTTGGAAATGCCTTTAATGTATTCAGAGACGACAGAAATTTTCATGCAACACAGAAGAAGTCAGGTGGTGGAGTTCTTATAGCTCTTTCGGCCAATTTTAACTCAGAAATTATCTGTACACCAAAATTTACAGAATTTGAGCATATTTGGGTGAAATCACACATAGCCGGTGAAACGCACGTGTTCGCCTCAGTGTATTTTCCACCAGACCATGCTCATAAAAGCACTTATGAAGCCTTCTTCCAAAGTGCTGAACAAATTCTATCTGACCTTCCTCCTGAGGTTAAAGTTCACATCTATGGAGACTTTAATCAACGCCATGCTGACTTCATTCTGGACTCTGAAAATGAATGTATCTTACTCCCAGTCGTTGGGGATAATGAAACATTGCCGTTCATTTTTGACAAAACTGCTAATTTAGGACTGAACCAAATTAACCACATCAAAAACCAACAATATTGCTATTTGGACTTTTTACTAACGAATATTTATGAAGATTTCTGTGTGACCGAATCATTAAATCCACTGTGGAAAAATGAAGCGTTTCACACAGCAATCGAATATTCTTTATTTATGCATGAAAACCAAAGACCCAACGACTGCGAATACGAAGAAGTCTTTGAATACAAATTAGCAGACTACAATAAAAATAAAATTTAAATTAAACAGTGTCAATTGGCAATTAAGACGTGTTCTACAAAATTTTAACAGAAATAATTTCGGAAGAAATACCTTTGAAGAAAAAAAGACGTAACAGAAACACACAAAATCCAGTCTGGTTTAACAGACAAATAAAAAACTTGAAAAATCGGAAGCAAAAAGCACATAAAATTTATAAAAAAACACAATAGTAGTAATAATTTATTAATTTATTGGGATCTATGCGATCAACTGAATTTAGCTATCAGTACTGCATTTGAAGAATATAATGCAAAAACTGAACGTGAAATAAAGTCCTGTCCGAAGAACTTCTTTAATTACGTAAAAACGAAATTAAAATCTGACAATTTTCCTTCAATAATGCATCTAGACGAAAATTTCGGTGATAGTTCGGAAAAAAACGCAAAATTTTTTCAAGAAATTTATACGACATTTTCTGAAGAAGATCGTGACCGCGATTATTTTGCATTTTATCCAGAATTTTCAAGGGACATTGGCCTCAATCAACTTCAAGTGCAGGACATTTTGCAGGCTTTAAAAAATTTAGATGCCTTAAAAGGTCCTGGACCTGACGGAATTCCTCCAGTATTTATTAAATGTCTAGCAATGGAACTCACTGCTCCATTGTTTTGGCTTTTTAATATGTCCCTGGAATCCGGAACCTTCCCTAAAATTTAGAAAAGCTCATTTCTAGTACCTATCTTTAAATCTGGTCGAAAATCTGACGTACGTAATTATCGTGGTATAGCCATTATCTCTTGCATTCCTAAGCTTTTCGAGTCAATTATCAACGAAAAATTATTTCTCCAAATCAAAAATAGAATTACTGACATGCAACACGGCTTTTTCAAGGGTCGTTCGACCTCGACCAACTTACTTGAATTAGTAGACTATTCAGTGAATGCAATGGATAATGGAAACCACGTAGAAGCTCTCTATACAGACTTTAGCAAGGCATTTGACCGCATTGACATACCAATGTTACTCTTTAAACTGCAAAAAATTGGAATTAAGTCAGGGCTCCTGAAATTGCTTGAATCATATTTAACTAACCGCCAACAAATAATTAAATTCAACGGAAAGAAATCGAGCCCAATTCAAGTCACTTCAGGCGTCCCCCAAGGCTCTCATTTGGGACCTCTCCTTTTTATTCTATACGTAAACGACATATCTTACATTGTCAAAAAACTTAAATTGCTTATTTATGCCAACGACATGAAGCTCTTTTTGGAAATAAGAAATGAAGAAGACATCAATATATTCCGGAATGAAATACACATATTCTACATATGGTGCAAAAAAAGTCTACTAGAATTGAATGTAAAAAAATGTAACTTAATATCATTTAGTAGAAAAAGAACAACTTCAAACATTTCAATTGCATTAGGAAATCAAACTGTAGACAAATGTGAAAGAGTTAGGGATTTAGGAATTATCTTAGACTCTAAGCTAACTTTCATAGACCATTACAATACAATTATTCACAGGGAAAATAACATGCTAGGCTTTATCAAGCGCTTTTGCTATAACTTTCAGGACCCTTACACAATTAAAACACTATATATTGTCTATGTGAGGTCAATACTGGAATATTGCAGTATTGTATGGTCTCCTTTTTCAATCACGCACGAAGAAAGATTAGAATCAGTACAAAAACAATTTCTATTAAACGCTCTTCGTAAATTAGGTTGGACTTCATTTCCTCTTCCATCATATGAACATACAAACATTAAAAGAGCGTCGTGAATATGCAATGGTTTCATTTGTAAACGATATCGTTTCGCAACGCATTGACTCCACAGAACTTTTATCAAAATTAAATTTCCATGCACCTACTCGGCAACTCCGAAATCGAAATTTATTTGCCATAAAACATCATCGTACAAATTATGCAAAATATGGGCCATTAAACCGCATGATGGCCTCTTACAATCAATACTGCGAAACCATTGACTTTACAATGTCTCGGCATAAACTAAAGCAATATTTTTATTCCATAAGAAATAACAACCCATAAAAGAAAAGACAAGAAAGCTGACACTACTTTTTTTATATAAATATATATTTAAGAAAACAAAACTGTATTAGTTGTACTAGTCTACGTTGGTTGACGAAATAAATAAATAAATAAATAAATAAATAAAAGTAGAAACGTTAAATGAGTAACACATGAATACCATTTGGTCGTATAGCCAGCTCCGTAGTACTTATGTTGCTAAGTTGCTGGCCTCTCATTAAATAAGTACTTCATCATCATTTATTTCCCTGGGAATAGCGACAGTCATGCTTTTGATATCCTTGTTTAAATAGGAATCAATGTTTACTCCCTTGCATTGTTCCTGAAAGCAGTCTGAATGAGAATTTTCAAAAGAGACATGAGTGTCATTAGTATCCGTAACAACGCTGCCGATAACAAACCTTATTTGTTTCTTAATATTAGGTATAGTGAAATTCGGTTGGAGGAACTAGTACTTAAAAGAAATTATATGCGAGCTTAAGGAAGGACGTGTTCATCGGTAATCAATAACAAATTCTTCTCAAGAATAGTTGCTATCGTCGTCGGTTAGGTCACCGCCGGAATAGAAATCTAGTAACAGCAGGTTGAACATTGTCTTTGTAAAATTAAGAGCTCGGTGGCCTTGTGGCGACCGATTTTGCTTACTGAGCAGAAAATTATGGGTTCAATCTCATGCTCCTTCACATTATAGAGTTATATTTTAAATCGACTATCTTTCATAACATAATGCGTAATGAAATTCGGTTGAATAGACGGGTACGTAAAACAAGTAATAATTGAGTTTTGTAAATGACGTGTTGATCGGAAATCCATATATCCCAGTGATTCAAGCGAGTATTACGTCAACATATTCCTACCCATTCCTTTCTTGACCAGCATTCAGACGTGGCCGGCGCTGGTATTGCCTAATTTTAGATCACCAGTATCAATGTGTAATGAGGAGGAATGCTAGTTAGTCCCACGCAAACATCTATTGGTTCTCTGTGTATTTACAGCTGATCTGACAATAACGGAGTTGCATCAATCATGCTCAAGCTTTCAACACTGTGTTATTTTTTCATAACAGTTTGACTCCGACTTAGAATATGATGTTTTTACAATCTTTTCTTTTTTGCTAATTGAGATCTAGGAAATTTTTAACAAAAATTATGATATCAGTAGGTCTTAAACGTCATACTGCTAATTATCAAGTTTACAAACTCCTGCACTTAAGATAGGGGAAGTTCACGTTTGTCGCGATTTGATGGATGAACTGATCGAGTATACGTTTCGATGACCTTTAAACCAATTTGTCAAGTAATATTTGGAAGTTTCTTTCATACTTTCACAAATCTCTCTATGTGTTACAATGCTTATAATTTATCGATCATTCCGTTCAGTTATGCAGTTCAGTTACCATTAGATCTCATCTGATCCGTTCGACATTCATTATTTTAAAACTTCTTCTTATCCGGATCTGATCCCGTTCCTACGCGAGGATGATACCCACGCTCGTCGGCCGTGTAATGCACCCAATAGGTTTGTCCGTCATCTCCGACGAACGAGTATGACCCTTGAACTACGAAGAACCGCACATTGTTGCCTTCGTCGTCTTTGCCGTCCTTCAGCGTTCCGACCTCGTCGCGTGTCTGATCATCGCTTAGTGCGTAGCTTTAGCGTTCGATGGTAGTATTAAAATCGCGATTTAATTGGAAGAAGATGATTCAGAAGAAACAAAATAACAAACCATGACACTGTTAAATTTTCGAACGCCAAAAGCATCACAACTAATTCCCTTTGGGAAGATTGATTAATTAGCGGAAGACTTACTTGAACTGGTAGTTGTCCAGCGTGTTGTGATCGTTTTCGAAGCGAACGAGTTGAACCTCGGAAGGGTTGTTCCGTGCATCGGTGACGGCGCTGAGGTTTTTGCGTTCGTTCTTGCTCACGGGCGCTGCTTGAAGCCAGTTTGCCAGCATGCAAACAGCTACTAAACTCAACGAAAACTTTTTCATTTTAGATACAGACTGTCACGTCGAATTTGCAAAAATGGTAATGCACCCCCCGAATCTGTTGTACGTTTCTTTTATAGTCGTGTCCGAGATGCAAACTTTTAAGAAAAATCCCGAAATTCAATGCTTCTGCCCAAATATTCTCGTCGTTATGAATTATAAACACATTTTTCAAAAAAATTCGCTACAAGATGAGATTAAATTTGCGAGGGGTCAGCTAGGTGTACCAGAGATAAGTCTTTTTTTATTCCCAAGAACAAGCCGATGACATGGTATGATACCACGATCCCACGACTGCATGACGGTCATTCGGAATACAAATTGCACACGTCTAGAAATTTGAATACATTAAACGCACCGTTGCCCAATGCCTTAATCCTGGTAGTGGAGAAGGCATCAACCAGTCAGAGAAGATTAGGTCATTAATCTTTGGAAATGTGCTTTATTCGATATCAAATTTCATCACAGTTTGGTTCGAGTCAGTTCAAATGCAGATTATTTTTTCCGTTTCTGTTATTTTTTAACATTCCCACGCTGAATCCTGTAGATACTGGTAATGGAATTTTTTTCAACTAGATTACTGATGATCTGAATGATATCGGATTCTGCAGATGAGATAATTTAAACAAAATTTATTTTAACATCGTATACAAGCTTTTGTGCAAGTGCTGGTGAGCTTTAAGTGAATTTGAGAAGAGCTTTTTGGCTAAATAATAATATATATTAGTAAGCTTTCACAGCTCTCGCTAAAATTCGACCCCTTTTGTCATACTCACCATATATTACGTCCTCGAACCCGACAAAGTAGATGCAATTATCAAGTGGTGCAAGGAATACGTACCGACCGGACAGTTTTAGTCGTTCAGGACCAATATTGTGCGGTGTAATGGTGTATTCCAGTACATGGAATGGTACGCTGAAAGAGGGTACGCTTTGCAGCATATTTACTAGATGTAGTTGCATACAATATTATGAAATAAGCTTTCACCTCATATCCGTTAAGTTACTGATCAATGCCGAATAATCTGTTATCACTTCTGCTACCATCGTTGTACGCTGATGAGTATCGCATTCAGCACTTATGTAGAACAGGTAGAGCCAGAGAAGCTTGGTGGCATGATTTGCCATGGTTCCGTATGGAGTAGATATAATAAACTGAAGAGTATCTGTCATGCTGGAATCGTTTTTATGCAAACCGAAACCGGTGGAGTGATTACCTTTTTGGACGCTTTGCCTCGCGACGGTAATGACTATCAATACCGTATTTGTAGTCAGCAAGGGCGTAGAAACGGGGGGGGGGGGGGGGGGTAACCTGGTATTAAATATCGATGCAAACAGCCTGAACCCCGTTAGGCCGAAGGGATCACTAAGTCAAATATATATTGATAATGAAATTTCTGTCAAACTGCATGAGTATTTTTGAAGTTTGTTTGGAAAAGCATATTTCGATTTGTTATTTGCCGGTTTTCCCATTTTTCCCGGAGTTTTCGGCTGCGCAAAGTATATTTAAATAAATATTATAAATTAACAATTCACACTTCGAATAAGTAATGTAAAATTCTGTCACTATGATGCATCACCATTAATATTCATATTATTTTATGTTTTATGTTTTATTATGCTTGAAAAGACGCAACAGTAATACCAAACGGTGGAATCTTATGATTAAAAAGATAAACGATAAATTGGCTTGCTACTTGACTAGCCTATTGGTTAGCCAAGTACATCTATAAGCGTACCCCATTCTAGTCGAAGATCTAGTACTACACTATGTTTGTTTGGATTCGCTATGAAAGTTTGACAGATAAAATTAGGGGTTCGTGGATTTTCCTATGTTTCGAGGGGTGCATCGACTAGCTTGGGACCGAAGGTAGTACCACAGCTGAGCCAAAAAATGGAGCACGTTTTATCGGGACCTTCTGGTCTTAGAGTTACCTCTATGGTAATTTTTGGCTAGTAATATTACACAATATTTTCGGCACGATTCAAGTGCATCCACTTTGATGTGATCTTAATATAATTTTTTTGCTGTAGGTGACTAAAACCATTCGTGGCATTATGATTTTTGCCTGTAATCATTTGATATGTTTAGTAAAATAACAGGTGTGGCAAACAGTATTAGCTATCTCTAACGTTCTTACACACCTACCCTGACGTTATGACATTCTACTACGTTCAGACTATAGTTGATATCTCATATCAATATAGCATATATTATGTGATAACAGCTATAGCCTGAATCAGTCCGCATCGTGCTCTCTTGCCGTGCGGATCTATTTGCTTTTTGCTGAAGGAAGTGTTACTACTACCTAAAGCTACAACAAATTTAAACAGCACTTTTCAGTGCTCAACCTGTAAAATTTCTACCTTGTTCAACTTTATTCCTCTTCGATCCTTGTTTGGACCCTACCCGAGGTAATCCTTCTTGGATATCGATTTGGAAAATTCCTCTTCGATCCTTCAGATTCTTATAGTAATCTGCTTGGAAGTCGATTTGGATAAAAATTTGCTGCCGCCATGGCGCCTAAACGCAAAAGAAAGAGGCAAACTCTTGACCCCCCTTCTGAAGAAATTAATTTGAGTAATCAATTTGATTTGCTCACGGATGATGAGAATGATCCATCATCCAAGAAAAATTCTAGTAAACTTTCCCGGCTTAATGCCAAGAAGGAAAAGATTCCCCCTATTGTGATAACCACTTCCGATTTCCATGCTCTTCGCATGGAACTTTTGAACTTCGTGAAAGTTAAGTTTTCTCTACAAATTGGACGTCGGGGTGAATGCCGTGTATTGGCTGAAACCTTGGACGGATTTAAATGTCTTCTCAAGTATCTTACTGAGAAGAAGCACAAATTTTTTACTTACGACACCAAAACTGAACGTGTGTTCAAGGTTGTCATGAAAGGACTGCCCAGTGGTGAATCCCTGGATCAGATCAAAGATGAACTGGCAAAATTACTTGGAGTTGTGCCACTCCAAGCAATCAAAATGAAAATGAAATCCCGTCCTGGCGATTCGCGCAACGGGATTTCTAATGATTTTTATTTAGTTCACTTCAAGTCTAGTGAACTAAACAACCTTAAGGCCTTAGAAAAAGCTAGCCTTATGCTCCATGTCCGAGTGAAGTGGGAAAACTTCAGGAAGACTGGAGGAAATTTCCAAAACCTCACTCAGTGCCGGAAGTGCCAGGGTTGGGGCCACGGAACTAAAAATTGCTACATGCCAGCTAAATGCATGAATTGTGGTGATTCCTCTCACGCAAAGGACGACTGTCCTGTGAAGGAAGATCCTAAGAAATTTAAATGTTCAAATTGTGGTGAAAACCACAAATCCAATTTTTGGGAGTGTAAGACTCGCAAAGCGATCCTACAATCTCGTTCTAACCGACAGGTAAGAAACGCTCCACGTTTCCGACCAGGTACAAATTCCTCTGCTGTTAACAACGGTCAGCGAGGAACAAATTCTACATTCGTACCCGTAGGTACAAATATCACCCCTGCTTCAAATTTTTCATCTGTACCTACTCCCATAGCTGCTAACAATGTTCAGCGAGTTAATGGAGCTACCTATGCTGCTATTGCAGCGGGTAGAAATCAAAATACTAACCAAAGTAATTCTAACGGAAATTTTTGACAATTTTGACTTAGGAAGCATTACTGCCCCTAAAATGGAATTTTTACAGAAATCATTAATTGACATGATTTCTGATATGCTTAAATCTAACTCCATGTTTGATGCTATTCAAACTGGAGTAAAATTTGCAAATAATATTGTCATGACTTTAAAATTCAGTAATGGATTTTAAAGCATTAAATATTGTTAATTGGAATGCTCGATCTCTTAAAGATAATGAAGACGAGCTATTTAACTTTTTGCGAATTCATAACGTGCATATTGCCGTTATAACTGAAACGTTCCTTAAACCTGACCATAAGGTTAAGAAGGACGCAAATTACTTGATTTATAGAAATGATCGTCTTGATGGACCCTGTGGTGGCGTTGCCATCATTGTTCATAGATGAATCAAACATAAAATTCTTTCTTCATTTGAAACCAAAGTTTTTGAAACTTTGGGAGTTTCTGTTGAAACAAAATTTGGACAACTTACGTTTATAGCTGCCTATTTGCCATTATAATGCGTAGGCCAGCAAAAGAATTTACTCAAGGGTGACCTCCAGAAACTTACCCGTCATAGGTCTAAATTCTTCATTATTGGTGATTTTAATTCAAAACACCGCTCAGGGAATAATACTCAAAGCAATTCCAATGGTAATATTCTGTTTGATGATTGTTCTGCAGGTTATTACACTATTCAATATCCAAACAGTCTAACATGCTTTTCTTCTGCAAGAAATCCATCCACTATTGATTTGGTCTTAACTGATTCATGTCAACTTTGTAGCCAATTGGTTACCCATGCTGACTTCGGTTCTGATCACCTTCCAGTATCTTTTGAAATATCCCAAGAAATAATTTGTAATCCCAACAGCTCTACTTTCAATTACCATAGAGCTGATTGGGAGCAGTATCGAACATTTATGGAATATAACTTCGATCCAAACATTCCTTTGCAAACCAAAGATGAAATTATTTATGCTCTTGAATCTCTGACTACTTCTATAGTTGCAGCAAGAGCTGCCTCAGTACCAAAATGCGAGGTTAAATTCGATTCAATTATAATAGACGACGATTTTCAGCTCTTGATCCGTCTTAAAAATGTCCGTAGGAGACAATATCAAAGAACACGCGATCCTGCCATGAAGGTTATCTGGCGGGATTTGCAAAAACAAATTAAAAAGCGATTCTCTGCCCTGAGGAACAAAACTTTTGAAAATAATATTTCTAAATTAGACCCGAGTTCCAAACCCTTTTGGAAACTCACAAAAATTTTGAAAAAACCTCAAAAGCCTATTCCAGCGCTTAAAGAAGGTGGTAAAATTTTGATCACAAATTTGGAAAAAGCTCAGAAACTTGCTAAGCAATTCGAGAGTTCCCATAATTTCAGTTTGGGTCTTACTAGTCCTATTGAGAATCAGGTTGCTCGGGATTTTCTGAATATTTTCTCTCGGGAAAATATTTTTGATGATTCCTGGGGGACTGATTTGGACGAAGTAAGGTCTATAACTAAAAAGTTTCAAAATATGAAAGCTCCAGGTGATGATGGAATTTTCTATATCCTCATCAAAAAACTCCCAGAGAGTACCTTGTCTTTCTTGGTAAAATTATTTAACAGATGTTTCCATTTGGCATACTTTCCTGATAAATGGAAAAATGCAAAAGTTGTTCCAATTTTGAAGCCGGATAAAAATCCAGCTGAAGCTTCTAGCTACCGCCCAATAAGTTTGCTTTCTTCAATAAGTAAACTTTTTGAAAAGATAATTTTGAATAGAATGATGCTTCACATCAATACGAACTCAATTTTTGCAGATGAGCAGTTTGGATTTCGCCATGGGCATTCAACTACTCATCAACTCTTAAGAGTTAACAATTTAATTCGTTCAAACAAATCTGAAGGCCACTCAACTGGAGTTGCTCTTCTAGACATAGAAAAAGCATTCGACAGTGTTTGGCATGAAGGTTTGATTGCTAAATTGAAAAAGTTAAATTTTCCACTTTATATTATGAAATTAGTTCAAAATTATTCAACTGACAGAACTCTGCAGGTAAATTATCAAAATTCCAAATCTAATTGACTACCTGTTAGAGCAGGAGTTCCTCAGGGTAGCATTCTTGGGCCTATATTGTATAACATTTTCACTTCGGACCTCCCTGATTTGCCTCAGGGTTGCCACAAATCTTTGTTCGCTGATGACACAGGCATTTCCGCTAAAGGAAGAAGTCTTCGTGTTATTTGCAGCAGACTGCAGAAAAGTTTAGATATTTTCTCTTCTTATTTACAAAAATGGAAGATTTCTCCCAACGCTTCCAAAACTCAACTTATAATATTTCCACACAAGCCTAGAGCTTCGTTTTTGAAACCTAATAGTAGTCACATAGTCACTATGAACGGAGTTCCAATTTCCTGGTCAAACCAAGTGAAATATCTTGGATTAATAATTGACCAAAAATTAACTTTTAAAGATCACATTGA